TAGGCTAAGTCTGGTTTAGGTCAGGCGACAACTTCCTTTCCTTCTCCCCCCACCCCCAATCTATGATTAGGGAACAGTGGACACTCATTAGGTCATTGGAAGGAAAGGGGACTATTTAGCCTGGAAAAGAGAAGGCTGTGGGCAAGAGGCCGAAAGAGGGACTGGATTTGTTCTGCTTGGCACTAGATAGAGCAGGGGTCCTTAGCTTGGAGTCCATGGATCCCCCAGAGATGTCAGAGAGTCTGCAAACCTGGATGGGAAAAATACATCTTTATTTTCACTAATGTTTCCTTTATATTTTACTTAAACATGCTTCTGAGAAGGGGGCCACAGGCATGCCCAGACCTACTGGCTAAGGGGACCAAAGGAGGTTCAGACCCCGGTCCAGAGGGCAGAGCCAGGGCCGGTGCGGGGGTGGGGCAGGGGAGCACCGTGGGTCTCAGTAAAGGAGCTTTCCAACAATCAGAGTCGTCTAACAAGGGGATTGGGGCCTAATAACAGTAGTGAGATCATCAGGAGAGACATCCAAATGGTTTGTCTAGCTGTGTCCTTGGCCCCCACTCCACTCAGCCTTGTGTTGCGTTATTTGGCCCCAAGTCTCTTCTCCATCAGAGGGCAGGGCTGTGTCAGATCCATCTTTGCATCTCCAGAGTCTGTCTCAGGGTCTTCCTGCAGATGAGGCAGCTCAGGAGGCAATGGATAGAGTGCTGGGCTTGGACTAGGAAAGACCTGAGTCCACATTCTGCCTCAGACACCTGTCTTGCTCTCTCTGGGCCTCAGTTTCCTCATCTGTAAAATGAGGTGCTTTGGGCTTGGTAACCTCTAAGGTCCCTCCCCTGGAGAACGAAATGGCAAACCACTCCAGGATCTTTGACAAGAAAGCCCCAAATGGGATCACCAAGAGTCAGACACCCTGAAAACAACTCAACAACAATAATAAAATTGTCTCTCCCAGTTCTAAATTTACGATCCTAGGAAAAGTCAGAGAAATCTTTGTTTAAGATGAAGCAGGCGATAGGGACAGCTGGGGATGAGTGGGAGGCCGGGCCAGACAAAGTCATCCTCATTCACCCGGAGCTGACTACCTGCCCAGAAGTCTCAGTGGCCCAGGTGTCCAAGACAGGGAGAACCCTGTTCTAGGCTGTGCCAGGGGAAAATTGCCTCCAAGCCTTTGGCCTCCTTGGGACCTATGGGTATACGGGAGGACTAGCTGTAGGCAGGGTGGACCCTGTGTGGGCTTACTAGGGTGGGAGTGAGGATGCTTCAGTGGAGATCATCCCCTCTCCTGGAATAACCACTCAGAGCGCATGGCCTACGGATTGTGGGTCAGCAGTGTTATCTTCGTAAACCAAAGACAACGTATTTTATTTTACAGAGATTGCACCAGGCAGTCACCCGGATGAAGGCCGTCCCTCAGGAGAACCCCCAGCATCAAGTAGGAAGTGCCCTTGCATAGGACGTCCGTGTAGATGGGTGGAAACCTTCAGGGGCTCAGTTACATTTTCTTCCTTCTGTCTTCTGGATTTTCGCGTAACTGTAGAACCTCAGCATTGCCGATGCATTCTGGGGAAAGAAAATGATGCTATGAAGGGAAGGGAAAGGAAGGGAGGGGAAGAAGGGGAAGGAGGAGGCTGCTCGGCATCTCCAACCTAAATGCTGCCCTGGAGTTTGAGACCAAGTTGTGGGTGTGAGGGAGGCAGGAGTGCCCAGCTCAGAGTCAGAAGTTCTAATCTTGGCGTGGCGGCTTACTTCCTATGTGACCACGACCAAGTAATTTCCCTTCTCCAGACTCTGGTTAAATAAATAAATAAAATAAAAGGATTGGACTAGGTCCCTTCTAGACCCACATCCTAGGATGGGATTGTGTGACTCTGGACCAGTCGCTCTCCCGAGCTGGGCCCGGACCTGCTTGAGTAAGCCCTCTTTCCCATGATGCCTTGGCACACTTACCACGTGGCTGCCCTGACGGTCTGTTTACCTGTGACAGATTCAGCTATAAAGGAAAGCCTGTCCCGGCAGACATGGTCAAGGAGTTTGGGCTGATTGATCAAGCCTCACAGAGGACCTCAAGCTAGATGGAGACCCCTTCTTGTCCAGGCATCAATCCTTCCCTTTATTAATCCACCAACATTTCTTAACTGCCTACTATATGCTAGGCACTGCACTATGCCTTTGAGCTGATTCATTTATCTTTTTGGGGGCAGGGCAAGGGGCCCTGGCCAGCTGACCTCCGGAGTCTTAAGTCCAGTTCTTGGTGCCACATTTTAGAATGGACATTGACAAGCCTCATTTGGGTAATCAAGCTTTGGTGGGGAGGGGGTTGTAGGAGGTAGTTCAAAGCATTTATCAAGCACTTACTATATGCCAAAAATTGTTTATTCTAGTTCATTCCTAGAAAACATGCTATATAAGGATTAAGTGAGAGAACCTGGGAGAGTTAGCGAAGTATTAAAGGGCCATCCTGTGACTGAGGGCCAAGGTTTGTTCTGCCTTGCCCAAGAGGGCAGTATTGGGGGCAATGGAGTGATTGGATGGGGTGGGTCGCTGCGGAGAAGCAGATTTAGTCCCGTTGTCTGAGGCAGAATTAATCCTGGTTCCAACTCTGGCGCTGTGATCTATCTATCAGCTGCCTTGGACATTATGCAACCCTGTACAAATCCCTTTCCCTTCCTGCACCTCGGTTTCCTTGTCTGTAAAAAAAAAAAATCACATCATCTTCAGTACCTACACCTCATAGGGTTATTGTGGAGTTGAAGGAAATTAATGTAAATAGAGCACTTTGAGAAATTTAAAGTGATGAGTAATTATCATCTGCTGCCCCAATGAGGCCTGGTCACATAGGAGGGCTCAAGCTAATATAACAGGATTTGGAGCCCAAGGGCACATATGGGAGTGAGGCCAGCCCTATCCTTTTCAGTAGGAACCCAAAGTCCCACAGGGAATAAGCTAGTCTTTGATTTTGGCACTATTCCGTCCATTCACTATTTTGTAACTCCTGGGGGAGGAAGGGGGAGGGCACCGAAGCTGGGGGCAGCTCTGATTTGGGGTCAAACTGACTTCATTTTGCAGATACCAGCCCCTCTAGACAGGGTGGATGAACAGTCTGAGTTTTGGGTTGGGAATGAAAAACAGAGGAGGGAGGGGGTCCCTGACTTGGCCAACCCCTTCAGTGATCAGGGTGGAGGCAGGGATGGCCACTGCCAGGTGACTTACTACGGTCACACTATTCTCCTGGCACCCCTATTTCCATAACCATGGACACAACTTGAGAAACTTGAGTCTTTACAATTTTGAGTGGAATGGATTTTACCTGGTTTTTCACGTGATGACAGAGATTCTGCCTTTTCTTTTGGTCCATCTTGACTATGACCAAACATAGAGAAGTTTGTTATTGACATTCAATCAGTTAGATGTGGCAAAGGAGTGTGTGTGTGTATTGGAGAAGGTGTGTGTGTGTGTGTGTGTGTTTGTGTGCTTCTAGGCTGGGTCATGGATTCTCCCATTCCTAGTATTTTGGTGGCCAATGGGTTACCCCCTTCAGTAGAAGCTGCCAGGAGGAGCCAAAAGCTAGTCTGGTCACTGTGGATTATCTTTAGAACTGCCTAGATTTGCTATTGTTATTATTATTATTAGTAATCATCATCATTTGGCAAGATTTGATTCCAAGAAATTTGGAGGTTGATGGTAAAGAATCCTTGGATCAGAGATGCAGACAACTCTAGACTTCCTAGCCCCCATTTTCCCAGTGATTTAGAGGAGAGCTGGGTGGCTGGCTAGTTTCCTGTATACCTTAAACAAGAGTCCCCTCTGACCTTCCTGACAAGTGGTCATCCAGCCTTTGTCTGAAGACCTTCCCCAAGAGGGGCACATTCACTTCTTCCTGTGGCAGCCTATTTTACTTTTGGGTAGATCTCATCATTCGACAATTTTTCCTTACATTAAAATGAAATCTGCTACTTTTAAAACTTTGCCCCTCTACCCAGAAGCCTGCAGGAATTCCAAGAGTTGGGCAGGGATAGGACCTTCACGATGTTATGTCAATGATATTATGGTAAAAGTCAGCACCGATAAGGGCGGAATCCTCTGTGACCTCCATGTGAATGACATCTGCCTCTGAAAGTTATAGGGATAGGTCAGAGCCATAACTGTAGAGGGAAGCCAGGGCTCTGCCCCAGGTTGCCAATCTTCCAGGAGGAGCCTAAGTCCTCTTTTCTTTTCCTATTGTATCACTTCATGGTTTGTGTGTGTGTGTGTGTGTGTGTGTGTGTGTGTGTGTGTAGGCAATACCTTAAGGTACAATAAGGATCCCACCCTACCCTACCTGCATGACCACAACTTCTGTTCCATTGAGGGTCTGTTGGACCAGGGGTATTGGCTGTAGGGGTGGGAAGGAGACTTTCTTCTGTGCCTTCCCTTCCAGGAGTTGGCTGTCACAACTGCCCTGTACCCAACCAGGGAAGATCACTCTCTGAGTGTTAAATCTCCCTCCCCCCATCTCTGCTATAGACACTAGAATTCCTAGTTATGGCTCTGGGATGGAAGATGTTAAAAATATGACTCAGTGCAGATGAAATCCTGTATTTCTTGGAGGATGGGGGAATGTTAACTTGTTCCCAAAAATAACAAATGTAACTGAAATTTATATAGTGCTTGTAGGTTTGCGAAGGGCTTTATATACATTGTCTCATTTGAGCCTGACAACAACCTGCTGAGGTGGGCACTATTATTAAGCCTGTTTTATAGAGGGGGAAATTGAGGCTCAGAGATGTTCAGTGAGTTGGGCATAAACACAGAGCTAGTGAATATTAGAGGCGAAATTTGAACTCAGGTCTGCTTTAGCAACTAGTTATAATTATGTGGTCAGGTGAAACATTTAGAATTCTGCTTAGTTCAGGCACCCTGCTCTGTCTGAAGACCTCCAGGTGTTCCCCAAAAGGGATTCCTGCTGAGGAATCAGGGGTTTGGCCAGACAGACTTTGAGGTCCCTTTCAACTGTGCCAACTTGGAACCCCAGCACTTGCTTTAGGATTCTGACTCTTCCCTTTACTCCTGTTGACCTTGGACAAATCATGTAACCCCTCTGGGCCTCAGTTTCCTTCTGTGTAGAAGGAGGGTTTGGACCCTGATTCTCTAAGCATCTGCCTTACCCACTTTACAAGGTTGAGGGGAGGTTAAATATATTGGCCCTCCAGGAGGGCAAGAGGGTAAAGGAGGCCTGGGCTAATGTAGCGTCAGACGAGAGGTCTACCACTGATAAGCTGTGGTACCTTGGGAGGCTCTCTTCCCATCTCTGGGGCTCAGTTTCTTTCTCCAGTAAATGAAAGTCATTGGACTGGATGATTTCTAAGGTCTCACCGATTGGGACTTGTAATGATTTGATTACGTGCTGGCACCTCTATCCAGCTAGACCCTAGGTTTGGCCCACCTTTGTTTCAGACTCCTCTGTGACATCAGACTTTGGCTGAGGAAGGCTGGGCTGTTGGGGTTGATGGACAGAGTTGTCATGATCCTCTCCTCTGGCAAGCATATCAGGGGCTCAGGTATCAGCCCGGCCACAGCCGTCTGGAGGAGACCCAGGACTAGGTCCTTTTCTGCAATGAGGGTGCATAAGGGTGAGTGAGGGCAGTGGGAAAGGGAGGGGTGTATGTGTGTGTATGGGGGGGGTCATCAGACCCACCTCATCCTGCTTCCCCAGTCCTCCGGACCCAGGACAGGTACTCAGGATCTAGGAGGTGAGTTTGCCTTTTTGGCAGCCCCATCTCTGGCATGGAATTCAGGGCTGGCCTGAGAGAGAGAGAAGTCTCTTTCCTTTCTTCCTCATGTTGGCTTTGTAGCAGCCCCCCTCCTCCCCACCCTTCTCTCTCCTCTCCCTCTACCCCTAAAGGACTGCCCACTCTCTGTCAAGGGTTCACCTTTAGGAATCCCACCTGCCATGGACCCTCCACCTCCATAGCTGATATGACACCTTTGACGCCTCCATTCCTCAGCATCTCCATGTAGATGAGCCTTCAAGGCTCACATTAAATGCTGCCTCATACATTTTTGTCTTTATGTCTCCAATGCCTCGAGCATTACCAGATTTTTCTTTTTCGCCTTGTATCTGTGATTTTTTTTTGGATACTGGACCTATGATTCAGTGTACGAAACTCCCTACCAATGCAGACCCAACACCTGCTGTATCTCAGAGTTCCCTGGGGGGCTCTGAGAAGCTGAAGAAGGCTTGCCAGGGCTTCACAGCCAGTATCAGTCAGAAGTAGAATTTGAACCTAGGTCTTCCTGACTCCAAGGAAGGTTTCCTATCTACCACATTACAATGCATATAGCAGGTATTTAATAAATGCTTGTCTAGTGAAATTGAATCAAACTAATAAGTGTGTGTGAGACCTGGAATGTGTCTTGAATGTCTTTCAGGAGTGAATGTTCTGTATTTCCCAGGGCACTTTGAGTTCTGCATCTAGTGGCCCCTTGCTCTGTGAGGGTTTCATGGGAGGACCATGAGGAAAGGAGAAGGGCCCATGCTTGGCAAAATGCCCAAGGGCTTCACATAGTTATAGAACCTCAGGGTTTCAGCCCCATAGAATGAAGGACTCTAGGAATCCTAGAACCTTAAGAGTTGGAAGGGACCTCAGAGACCAGTTGACCCAATGTGACCCCCCTCACCCTGTAGGACCTTACCTCTGGGGCTAGCTGAGGGGATGGCAGTCAGAGAGTCTGTCTGTAGGATTTGACACAGCAGTTCCAGGATCTGTTGGCAGAAAAGTCTGGTAGGCAGGTCAGTATGACTGAACTCGTGAGCTCACTTGATCATGGGGATGAGAGCTCATAGCTACAGTTGGACATTTTCCATGCCCTCTTCCCATCCCCACCTGCCATCTCATCTCCAGGAATACTTGGGTGTGTGATTATTCTGAGTACTAGAGATGTCCATGCCCTTTCTGTTCTCCTCTAAGGGGGTAGCCCTGACTGTAACATTAGGTTCAGAACTGCACAATCAAACCTGAATATAGTCAGCTGGTGCCAAGTGAGTGAGCAAGGAGAGCTCTTGTTCATCCTCATCCCCAAGGATTAAGGAGAACTGCATGGGACTGACATGCTAAAGTCACTGTTTTAGCTCCCTACATTCTTAGGTTGACTCCATTTCTTTCACCTTTCTTGGCACTAGCTAGAAATGGGCTTGCCCCACTAGGATGAGCTCCAGGGGCTACACCTCTACTCCTAGGGCTCAGGTCTCACCTTCATTTCAAGGTGGGGAGGGAGGTTCAGACTCCTCCTAGGTCCATCATATGATAGCCCCAGACTCAGGCCCCCAGGTAGAACCAATCTCCAATTTCAGAATCCTTGATATAAGGTGGTTCATTGGAGGGGGCAAGTTCAGAAGTCCATGTCCCAGAGTCAAGCTCTGTTCAGACATAGCAATGGATCTATCTTTCTCGGTAAAATCATGAAATGGAACAAAGGTAATTTTTAGATCTCTGCCCATTATGGGAACCCACCCCCTCTCCAGCTCAGAACCTCTCCCCATTAAAACCTACTCATTCTATTTCCCTTTCTCCTTAGGGCCCTGCTCCCCCCCCTTCTGTGTGTGTGTGCATGTGTGTGTGTGTGTGTGTGTGTGTGTGGGTGTGTGTGTGAGAGAGAGAGAGGGACAGAGACAGAAACAGAGAGACAGAGAGACAGAGACACACACAGACGGAGACAGAGAGCTAAGAGACTAGTTTGTGTTAAGGTATAAATGTCTGATGCCTTCCTAGATAAATATTCATATTCAGCCGAGGGCCTTTCATGCTTCATCCACTCAAGTGAGGAGTTTCCAGGGAACTCTAGGGACCAGTGCGTTCTGGGTGATTTGTAGCCTGATTTGATAATGACCAGGACCTGTCCTGCTTGGGAATTCAGGGGATTAGGAACATGGCTAACCATGATATCCCTAGAATGAAGATGACAGGAATAATAATAATAGTGAATATTTATATAGCATCTTAATGTTTGCAAAGTACTTCAAAATATTATCTCATTCGATCCTTGTTACAACTTTGGGAGAGGTAGGGGCTATTATCATCCCCATTTCATAGATGAGAAAACAGGCTGAGAGAGATGATTAAGTGACTTGCTCAAGGCCACACAGCTAGTAAATGTCCAAGGAAGAACCTGAACTTGGGGCTTTCCTTACTCTAAGTCCAACATTATTTATTATGCTATCAAACTGTCAGTATATGTGATTGTGGCACCAGCAAGAGACCCTATTCAACAAATGTAACTCGCTATCCTCCATTAGCGCTTCGTTCCTTTGGCTTCAAGAGTCCATTTCTTCCCCTTCCCCCCTTTAAAAAGTGCCTTCTAGGGGCAGCTAGATGGTGCAGTGGATAGAGCACTGGCCCTGGATTCAGGAGGACCTGAGTTCAAATCCGGCCTCAGGCACATAACACTTACTAGTCGTGTGACCCTGGGCAAGTCACTTAACCCCATTGCCTAGCCAAAAAAAACAAAAAACAAAACAAAACAAAATAAAATAAAATAAAAAATAAAAAGTGCCTTCTAGAAGGGTCCTGGGGAAGCTGTTACTGCACAGGCCTTCATCAGAGATGAGTTAATGCATAGCTGAGAACAAGGATAAGACACAGGATTGGGAGGATCCATTTTAATGAACGCTAGCCCCATTTGGGACAAATGCACAGCTCTGGTTAACAGCCGTCTAGCAGATAAGGAATGGGCTTGTTGGGAGACTCAGGGCCTCATTGTGAAGCTCGGGAGCTGGCCTCCCTGGGCTTCTCCTCTCCACCCCTCACACTCACCAGTAGTTCTTGGTCCTGGACAACAGGCATGACATCTTTGCTCTGAAGGTCGCCTCTATGGGAGGTTCGGGGGGCTCTGCTCGTCATGGACTGTATGTAGCCTGGGATGAGCCTCCCCGTTATTGGGGAGTACTGGGCCAACCTCTCTGTCTCTTCCTTCTGACAGAATTACAGATGGTCAATCCTGGAAGGGACCTCAGCTCCCATCCAGGCCAACCCGTCCTATCAGAGAGGAGAATATCGAGGGCCAGAGAAGGGAAAGGACTTGGCCAAAGTCACCCAGCTGGTGGCAAGGCTGGGACTCTTCTGAAAGAGACTCAGGACAGAGAAGCAAGAGATAGAACCCAGAAGAAACAGCTAGGATGGTCTCAGCCTCATCTTTCTTTACTCAATCAACAAGAATTTATTAAGCACTTACTAGGTGTCAAGCATGGCACTTCTCCAGCCTGAAGTCTTTTCTCTGTCTCTTCTCTAGCCTAATTCTACCCACCTCTTCAGGGCCCAGCTGAAGTCCCTCCTCCTCCAGGAAGGTCACCATGACCTCCCCCTCCTCTGAGCACCTGCTTCCTTTAGAGTCTCAGCAAGACAACTTCAAACAGTTATTTATGAAGGGCCTACCGTGTGCAACACTTGACAGTGTTATCTCTCCAACGTGAAATTCTAAATTTCCTGAGAATGGAGACTTATGGGGTTCTAATGGAAAGAGTGGGGGATTTGGAGTTGGAAGACCAGAGTTTGGGTCCCAATTTTAAATACCCATGTGACCTTGAACAAGCGACTTAATCTCTGATGATGTCAAATGAGAGGCCAGGGTGAGCTCATGGCTCCTAGGAAGACTCGTATTGTCAGAGGAGAGAGAGGGGGGCCTGCATCTTGTGTGACCTAGAGAACCCTACTTCCATGCTCTACCCTGGGCCAGCAGCTCTGGCCATCTCAGGGAATGGGAGAAATAAGACAGCGATGGTCTCCTCTCAACAGAGGTCAGTGAGATCATGCTTACTTAAAGGGGAAGGAAGTGGTCTTAGGGCTTCAGAGATCTCAATTCAAGGCCTATTTCTCATACTAGCTAGACTCCTGACCCCAGACAAGTGCCTTCTCCTCTCTGGGAGTCTCTTCTGTAGAATTAGGGAATTGGATAATCCCTAAGGTACCTGTTATTTTATAATTATATCCCCTCATACAGAGGCTCATAAAGGTGAGGTGATTTTCCCTGGGGGATTGAAAAGCTAATTAATAGAGGAGCTAGGACCTGAATTCACAACTTTTGATGCCTAGTTGAGGTCAGCTAAGAGGAGGCCAATTCCAAAATCACTCTGCTGATGGTCTTTATTATATGGTGCCACCCCAGGGAGGGTATGATAACAACGGCCCAATGCCCTCTTTTTCTTCGGCCCTAAAGTGCTTCCTCCAAATCCTCTCCCCAGCTCTGTCTTTACATATCTCTCTTCCCCTCTCCATAGCTATGTCTTCACCTACTCCCCTCTCCCCAGCTCTGGTCTCCCTGCCCTCCTTTTCCCCAACTCTTTCTCACCTCCCCCACTTTCCCTTTTCCCCTCCTCCCTCCCCTTCCCAGCTGTGCTTTCCTCCCCCTCCCCCAGTTCAGTTCTCCCTTCCCCTCTCCAAACTCTGTTTTCCCTCCCTCCCTTTTCCTCAACTCTTTTCTCCCCTTCTTCCCCTTCCTTTCCCCCATCCTTCCCCTTCCCAGGTCAGTTCTCTCTCCCCTCTCCCTAGCTCAATCCTCACCTCCTTTGCCCCAGCTGAGTTCTCACCCACCTTTTTCTTCATCTCTGCTTCCTTGGAGAAGGCAGCCACCTTGGAGGCCAGTTCCTTTAGCTCCTCTCTCCAAATACTTGACAATGAACCTAAGAGAAGAGGCCAGGGTGGGAGACAGGGAGTGAGAGTGCTAGGAGAAGGATTTCATAACTTAGGACCTGTCACGATCTCTGGTCTCTGGTCTCTGGTCTAGTGGAAGAAGCCTCCATTTCCTTCATCCTCAGGCTTCTCACACAAGGAAATAGAACTCCAACCAAGGTGGAGCAGCTGAGGGTTTGGACCAAAGCATCAACATCCAGGGGATATTGCTTCTTCCCTGGAGTGGGGAAGGGGATGGGGAAACATTGCTTCCTCTTGAAGCAAACCAGAGCCACTGTCCCTATGCTTCTATTGACCTGTGACACGTTGGGGAATGGGGAGACTAAGGCGGCTCCAGGAAAAGGCAGGGGGATCAGGTTGACAGGGCAGAAATCCAGGGAGAAGGGGGAGAGGGAGGGAAAGGACAACTCTGTTCTTCCCTCCCCTCCAACCCCCCATGAATAGAACCATGTTTAGGCTATTTCTTTCAGGACATACCTTCTCCTGGCCTTTGAAACTCTTTCTGCAATTTCACTGCCTCTGCCCACATTCTCAGTGCTCTTCAACTTAGCCTTAGCTTTGCCCAGCCCCCATCCTCCTCTGCCTTCCCTTCCCACTGTGCCCTTCTCTGCGGTGAACCAACTTTTCTGCATCCTAGATCTCCTCCTTCACTGAGTCCTGGCTTTCTTTTAGACACCACACTTGCTGGCCTCCTCTCCAGTGCTGGGCTGTTGGGCTGTTCCTTTTCTCACACTCCCTAATATCCAGACCCAGGAAGAGGAGTGGGCATACCTCCTTGGTCACTACTTCCACTTTTAGATCCTCTCTCTCCCACCTTCTCTCAGCAGCCACCTTCTCTTCCTTTAAAGTTCCTGTAAGTCAGTCAGTAAGCATTTATTAAGCCCACCATGTGCCAGGCAGCAGGCACTGTGCTAAGAACTGGGGATACAAAAAGAAGAAAAAAACAGTCCCCATCCTCCAGGTGCTTACAGTCTAATGGAGGAGTTGACAACAAGCAAGTAAGTACGAACTAACGTACAGAATAAATTGGAAATAAACAACAGAGAGAAGGCATTAGAATTAGAAGGGTTTGGGGAAGGCTTCCTGTAGAGTCTGAGTTTTTAGTTGGAACTTAAAGGAAGCCAGGGAAACCAGCTTGGGAGACAGCCAGAGAAAATGCCCAGAGCCAAGAGATGGAGTGTCTTGCTTGTGAAACAGCAAAGAGACCAGCGTCACCGGATCAAAGAGTGCACATTGGAGAATAAGATATGGGAAGACTGGAAAGGTAAGGGAGGAGCTAGGTTATGAAGGACTTTGAATGCAAAAGAGAATTTTGTATTTGTTGCTGGAGGTAAGAGGGAACCACTGAAATTTCTCGAGTCGGAGGGTGACATAGTTGGATCTGTGACTTAGGCTGGTTGAATGGAAGATGTTTTGGAGTAGGAAGAGACTTGTGTCAGGTAGATGTGCCAGCAGGCTATTTCAATATTCCAAGAGCGAGGTGATGAGTGTCTGCACCCAAGGTGGTGGTAGTATCAGAGGAAAGAGAGGGGAAATATTCAAGAGACTTTGCAAAGGTAAAATTGACAAAAGATTGGTTATGGGGGGTGGGCATGAGAAAGAGGATGATACCTAGGTTGCGAGCCTGGGGGACTGGGAGGATGGTGGAAGATGGTGGAGGATGGTGCAGGATAGTGCTGCCCTCCATGGTAAGAGGGGAGGGTTTGTGGGAAAAGATCTTGAGTTCTGTTTTGAATGTGGTGTTTCCTCTGAACAAAATGTCTACAGGACATCCAGTTTGAGAAGTCTAAAGGGCATTTAGAGATGCGAGATTGGAGGTCAGCAGAGAGGTTTGGGCAGGATGGTTTGATCTGAGAATCATCAGCATAGAGATAGTCATTAAATCCACAGGAGCTGAGGAGATCACCAAGTGAAGTAACATAGAGGGAGAAGAGAAGAGGACCCAGGACAGAGCCTTGGGGGCCATCTACTGTTAGAAGGCATGATCTGAAAGAGGATTTAGCAAAGGAGACTGGGAAGGAGTGGCCAGATAGGTAGGAGGAGATCCAAGAGAGAAGTGTCTTGAAAACCTTGAGAGAAGAGATTATCAAAGAGAAGAGAGTAATAAGAATGTCAAAGAAGAATGAGGATGGAGAAAAGGTCACAGGATTTGGAAATTAGATCATTGGTAACTTTGTAGAGAGCAGGTTTGGTGGACTGGTGAGGTTGAGAGCTGGATTATAAGGGGTTAAAAGAGAATGAGAGGAAAGAAAGTGGAGGCACCTATTGCTGATGGTTTACAAGGAGTTTAGTCATAGAGGCAAAAGAGATGTAGGATGATACAAGGGATGGAAGGATAAAGTGAGGGGTTTTGAGGATGAGGGAGACATGGGTCTGTCTGTAGGCATAGGAATGGCCTCTGAGAGACTGAGGATTGGAGATTGGAGGCTGTGGATAAAAAGCAGAGTTTGGTATAGGAAGGCAGGAGAAGAGGTGGAAAATCTTTAGATTGTGGTCAGATAAAGGGGTTTCAGAATTCTTGAACATGGAGGTGGTGCATTTGTATATGATGGCAAGATGGAGGGTATGACCATCTTTGTGTGTGGCTGAGATGGGAGGGAGGAATAGGTCATGGGAAGTGAATAAGTCAAGGAATTGAATGGCCAAGGTGTTTGAGGGAGAGTCAATATGCATGTTAAAGCCATTTTGTTTAAGGGCAGGAGTTGGAGGGGAGAGAAAAATTGTGAGATAGGTACTGAACTCATCGAGAAAGGAATGAGTGTATCCTGGAGATCTGCAGATAACAGCAACCAGGATTTTGATTAAGTGGAAGATGTAGATTGTATGGACCTCAAAGGAGTGTGATAGTGGTGGGGGAGATCCTGGAAGTGGCAGTGGGGACTAAGGGGTAGTCCAACTCCCCTGCCTCTGCCAGTGAGCAAAGGGGAATGTGTGAAAATGCAGCCAGCACTGGAAAGGATGGCCAGGGAGGCTGTCATCGGGGGCAGCCAGGTCTAGTGATTGCTAGAAGAGTGGGAGAGGAAAAGATTTAAGACAAAATTTATTGCCTATGCAACAGGCATTCCAGAGTGCACAGTGCAAGAGGTAGGTAGTGTTTGGTTGGATTTGGGGATGGGAGAGTTAAGGAGGATGGGAAAAAGAAATCAGGCAGTGGGGGATAGGGAATGAGGTTTGAACGATGACCTATAGGGGATCAGAATCACTGGGATGTTTATGTCTATGCTGTTGTCTCATCCCTCAGCCTCTCTAGGCCTCAGTATCCTTATCTCTCCAATAAAGGGGTTGGACTCCATGGCCCTAGGCCCTTCCTCGTTCTAGAGATATAAGCCCATGTTTCATGTACCTCTTGGTCACTCTTCCTCTCTTTCCCTCATGCCTCACAGTCTTTCCCATCCCAACCCCTTCCCTTTTGTGCCCCTGGATTCCTGGTTCTTCAAACTTCAGCTTTTTCTTTTGCCATACTGGGATTGTTTGTACCCCTCAGACTACATGCTGCCACCTGTCTGCATCCCCAACTTCAGTGAATTTTCCCCTGGGGTCAGAATATCCAGTTATGGCTCTGCTAGGAAAGACTTTTCACTGGAGGTCAAAACTTCTTTCTTTTCCTCCCACATTTTAAAAGTAAGAATAGGAGTCAGGAAACAGGTACATCCTACCTCTCTCTCCCTTCTGTCCCAACAGGCTTTCTCTCCTTTCCTTTTAAGGGGGGAAGGCAGAAAAAGACCAGATCTTTATGTCTTAAAGAGAGACTGGGAAGGAGGGATGAAGGGAGCAGTTCTGAGGATCTTAGGTTTGTAGACTCCTAGGCACAGGTTAATGGGGGGAGGGTGACATATGGGGGGGTGGGAGAGAAATCCTGGATGCAAACTACACAACTTCTCAGCTATCACCTTGTAATCTGATCTCCTCCTTTCCCTCCTGCATGAGATGACCCTTGGGGAAAAGGGAGGCCGCCACAAACCCCAGATCTGGGCACAAAGATATCCTTGGGATGTCTCTGAAGGGCTGCTGCTGTACCTACTCAAGGTTAAGTGGGGTTCCACGAGGGACTGTGGGTCTCCGATGGGCATCTGGACTTGGGGTGCTCCTAAAATGTTGATGGAGATATTGGAACTGGGTCCAGGTAGAGTCAGTGAGGGGTGAGTTATGTTGTCTCTTACAGTGCAAATGGGATTCCCAGAAAGATCTGCTGGGGAAAAGAGAGATGTTGGACTGGGAGGTGAGAAGTATTCATTCATTCATTCATTTATAGGGACAGAGACTGAACCTGTGATTTCATTGGTATAAAGAACACCTGGATAAGGAGTCCAACTTTACCAATACACGTTGGCACCTTCTCAGAAGCTTATAGGCAATTCCTAAAGCACTGAAAAATTAGGTGGCTTGCCCAGAATCACACGACCAGTCACGACCAGTCCATGTGGGAGACAGGACTTGAACAGACCTCTTCCTGGCTTCCAGGTCAGTTCTCCATGCAGTTACCTCTCATTCCCTCTTAGGCTTGGCAAATAAGGTTAGGGTTATTCATTCTCTTATTGAATGTCTATTCAATTCAACAAGATTTACTCTGTGCCAAGTACTATGCTAGACACTGGAGATACACAGACAAAAATGAAAATGTCATAGGTTGTCATAGGAGGAAAGTGTCATGGCTGCCAAGTGTCATAGCAACTAGTCCAGGCCCATCACTTTATGGAAGCCAAGAGGTTGGGGAGGTGGATCGCCTAAAGTTACATAGGCACTTGTAGTAAATGAATGAAAAATGCACTTATTAAGCACTAAGTGCAGAGCCGTAGGCTGAGCTCTGGGTATACAAATGGAAAAGCAAGGAAATCCTCCTCTAGGGATTCACATTCAAAAAGAAGGAAGTTAATAGGAGTAAGCATCTAAGGCTTGCCCTCATGAATCAATCCACAAGGGGGAGACCTGGGGCAGGGCAGATAGCACAGCTGTCTTCAAGTATTTGAAGGGCTGCCATTTTTAAAGTTAGACACGAGGGTATGAATCATCTCCTGTGGGAGGAGGGGAGAACAACCTGTGCACATCTAAGGGTGACCAAATACCTTGGCCTCAAATAGACCAATTCTGGGCTGGATCCTGGAAAAGATCAGTGCCTCTCTCTGGCTCATGGCCCAGCCCTGGGAAAAATCTCCTCTTGTGCTCATTTGACAGCTTGTGTTTCTAGGCTTTCCTTGAAAAGGGGGTCCCTGGCTCTCAAGGGCTAATGTGGGTCTTGGGCATGGGCAATGTTTCTTTTGCCCCACTGGAATGGGGACTGTGTCAATGACTCCCAGGAATCCATGAACAAGTTCAGAAATACAGAGGGCAGTCAAAGAAACAAGCCATCAGGGTTCCCCTCAGTCCTCCTCCTCCTCCCTGAACTGAACCTCAAGTTACTAGGGAGTTAGCCCCGACATTCCAAAGAAATGTCTTTCTCCCAGAGTCCTTTTTAATCCTCAGTGACAACCTAAGATTTAGAATTCTCTACTTAGATCAATGGATCTGAGTCTCTGCCTCCACCTGGTGGCAGCATATGCAAATGCCAAGGACAACCATTGAGGGGAGGGTGGGGAGAGGTCATGGGTTCAAAATCCTCTGCCAAACACTCTCCGTGGGGCTGTGGGAAAGTCATTTCCCCTCTCTGGGATTCTCATCAGTAAAATGAGAAGGACTTGGATTAGACGGCTTCTAAGGTCTTTTCCAGCTTTAATTATTCCATCACCTAATTATCTTTAAAAGGAGAGTGGATGTAAGACGGGGGTTCATGGGTCTAGATGACCTGTTAGGTCCCTTCTAGCTCTAAATTGGTGATCTCTAGGTACGAAGGAATGGAGATTTGGGGAGCTCCAATGCAGGGCGTTTCCTTCTCTTCCAATATCCCCTATGCTGATGAAATCCCATGTCCAATCTCTCTCTCTCTGTGTCCCTTAGAGTAAAGGCGTAAAATGAAATTTTTAAGGTACTTTCTGAAGATCATCTATTTTTACAATGCTGTTTGGATGCAAAAAGGTGGAGGAGCATCTGAGGTCTCTTATAGCCAGAGAAAAACCTCCTTGAATGTTATTCATAAATAAAAACTGGCATTTACATAGAGATTTAAGGTTTATCTAGTACTTGGAAGCCACTATCTCACGGGATCCTTGCAATTCTTAAATGGAGGCAGTAAACGTGTTTGCAGTTCCATTTTACAAGTGAGGAAACTGAGGCACAGAGAGCTTTTAAAAAAAAAAACAAACCTTATTCACATTCTGGTAGGATTGTAGGTCTAAGTCTCCTGGTTACCAGTTCAGGAGTCATTTCAGGAGTTCTCCAAAGCTGGTCCAGAGAACAGAATCCTGTCTGATCTAAGACTCACAATTTTTGTCTCCGATTCCTGGTTTCCCACCCCTTCTCTCAAATTCCACGCCTTAATTTCCCAATATTGTATTTTTAAAAATTGAGGTGAATCTAACGGATGGAGGATTATGCTGCTGAGGGCCTATTGGACTTTTGGAGTTCTCCTTCGATAGGGATTTTGGGAGTGGGGTGGGGGGAGGGGGCAGCCATGGCCTGAATCTGCTTGGTCACCTGAACTTCTGGGGCTCTCCTACTGGCTGTGGGGAGCTCTCTGAAAGGCAAGTAGGTGGTACAGTGGATAGAATGCTTGGACCTGAAGTCAGGAAGATCTGAGTTCAAATCCTGCCTCAGACACTGTGTAAAATCTAGTCAAGTCACTTGGTTTCTGCCTGTCTCAGTTTCTTCATCTGTCAAATGGGGATAAAAACGATATCTACTTCCCTGAGTTTTTGAGAGGATAACATATTTGTAAAGTACTTTGTAAACCTTAAAGAGCTACATAAATATTAACAGTTGTTATTTTTGTTATTATTATTAATATTTTTAGTATCACTTCCAGTTTGGGGAGAATCATGCTTCCTCTATGCCTCTGTCCCAGACACTGACATTTGTCCCTCCTTCCTGCTTCTCCCCCTCTCTGAACCTGCTTCCCCACTTACCTTGAATGTGAGCCACTCGATTGGGATGGGAATTGTGTCTGGAGAAGAAAGAGTTGTGGCTGAGCTGACCAAAGCGAGGGGTACTCTGGGACCGTGGCCGGTCGACCCTGGGCACTTCCTGGAGGCAGATCTCTGCCCTCCCGGGGGTCAGAGCGATTTCCTTCTGTCGGGCGGTGCTGCGGCTCCTAGACTTCCTCACTAAGTCCTTTCTCAACGTGCTGGTCTTGGCCCTGAGGCAGAAGGAGAGGCAGAAGGGGAAGGCGGTTCAGTAGCCCCCAACCCGGCACCCCCATGATGGGGAGTCAGGATCACGGGCTGTCAGTGCTGGGCGGGGCTTTCGAGAACATCTAGGCTGATCTTCCCATTTTACAGATGAGGACACTGAAGCCCAGGGAGGTAGGTGAAGAGCCTTGCCTAAGGTCAAACAGGTAACAAGCACCAGCAGTGCAATCTAAACCAAGGGCCTCTGACGCCAGAACCAGGCTTCCTCTGGCTCCATCATTCTGCCTCTCCCCCACACGATCATTCGGTAACAGAACTTTAGCTCTGGAGCAGACCCGAGAGCTCTTCTAGTCCCAACCCCATTATTCGGCACAGGAGGAAACTGAGGCACAGAGTGAGGAAGGGACTGGCCCGGAGTCACAGGGCTAGGATCAGAACCGGTCTCCCGCCTCCAAATCCCGTGCTATGGTGAGAGCGTTCCCATTTGACCAAACCCAGGGATCATCTCCAAATTCCAGAAAGTGAAGGTTGTTGGCACTTACCTGCTCATCTAAATGGCCGGGGATGGCGTGGTGGTCATTTAAAGGGGAGGTGGAAGGGGCTGGCGGTCTCAGGGATAGGAGGAGAGGGACTTCCCATGCGCTGGGACTGCGTCGAAGCCAAGCTGCTGCTACCCAAGCAAAGCCAGGGAGCGCGTGTAAGACCATCCCCCAAAGACAGAACTGGGCAGGGGCCCAGCATCCTCCCTCGGGCCAGCGAAGCCCTGCCGTTGTTTCTCTAGAGAAAGCCCATCTTTCCACATCCCCTTAAGCCTTGTAAAGCGTTTTCCTTGCAGTAACCCAGTAGACTGGGTGGGGGGCGGGGCACAATAATTACTATGCCCATTTCACTGATGAGGAAACTGAGCTCAGAGGGGCAAAGTAACTTAGGAGCAAAACTCTAAGGCTGGAAGGAATTTCGGGAGGCTATCTAGTCCAGTCCTCTCCAGGAAGGTGAGGCCAGTGACTGGCCCAAGGTCACCTAGGGCCCAGTTCTGGTGCTTGAAGCACATTCAGTTGGCTGGGGGTGGGGAGTGGTGTTACAGAGTAGATAGTTTGCCTTGATTAGAAGCAGGGGTGTGTATGTGTGTGTGTGTGTGTGTGTGTGTGTGTGTGTGTGTGTGTATGCTACATAATAGGTACTCTGAAAAAATGGCAGTGATTATATGTGTACGTAGGTGGAGATGGTCTGAGCATCGGATAAACTTCTGACTGTGCTACAGTGGAAAAAGATTTGGATTTGGAGTCTGAGGACTTGATTTTGAATCTCTACTCTATTCCTTATTACCTCTGCAATTTTAGTCAAGTCACTTGACTTCCCTGGGCCTCAGTTTCCTCATTTGCAAAATGAGGGGATTGGCCTTGATGGCCCCCGGGGGGCCCTTTCAGTACTAGAGTTTCTACTGACCCCAGATGACTCAGGGCAGAGCAGGCAGTGACCTCAGGAGGATGGAGCTTATGGAAGTTTGAGTGGGAGTTTCCTGTTGGCCCCCTTCCCAGCGGCTGCCCCGGATAGGACATCACCTGGATAGGAAGCTTCCCCTTCTCCCTTCTCCCTTCCCTTTAGAAAATGCTCACGGCCTCGATGGAAGCCCCCAGCTGGGGCGCCTCCCGAGGCACTGGACCTCTTGGGCCTCATTGGTGGTAAAGATGCCCCAAACTTTCCTGCCTCCGGCAGTTGCTCCCAGTCTTCCCCAAGCCTCCATGCCCTCCCTCCTCTCCTTTGCTGCCCATCCCTTGAAGCCCCCCTCAGATGCTTCCTTCTCCTGCAGGTTTTGTCAGATTGTTCCTTTCTGTCACTAACGAGCTCCTCCATATAGTACTTCATTTACCACCCAACCCAATGGCCTTATGGGGGGGGCAGCATGGCCATAGTGGAGAGAAGGCTGGCTTCGGGGACAGGAGGATCCGGGTTCAAGTCCTGCCTCTGAACACTCAAGCTGCACTTTACTTTTCAGTGATTCTGCGTCACTCTCAAGACTAAAAGTGCTAAAGGGTATTGGTAGATGGAGTTTCCCCAATGGAAGCGCTTTACACTCATCCAATCACAGTTCTAGAACACCCCCTTCTCCTGGATTATTGTACATCATAGCGATGTTATCGATACAACAACCAACGTACAATAATTTACAGGACCACCACCAAAATGTCCGAGAAAACAACCCAGGAAGACTTCAAAACTCATTGAGACCAGTCACCATCTCTCTGGAGCTGGAAGGGACCTTCAGGTCCAAGTGCCAGGCATGTCTCTAGCTTATAGAATCATTCATCAAGAGCTGGAAGCAATGTTGGAGGCCTCATTTTACAAATGAGGAAACTGAGGTCCATAAAGATAAGGTGACTCACTCAAGGCTATGCAAATGCCAGAAGCAGGATTGGAACCTAGGCTATCTGACCTGAGTATAGACCAGAGTCTTTCCTTTCTACCACTTGACTTTTTCAACAGCAAAGCATGTTGCTAACCTTGGCAAAGAGTGGTGGGCTACAGGTGAGGAAAGGGGCATGCATTGTCAGACGTGGCCCAATGTGTGGATTTGCTTTGTTTAACCATATTTATTTGTGATGAGGGGGAGTTGTTGGCAGTGGTAGGGGATGGTCCTTGGGAGGTGAGCACCAATAATACATCGTTAAAAACCCATCGACAAATATTCAAGAAACAAGCAGAAAAAGTACCTACCGGACCAGACCCAGAGGAGGTTCAAAGCCAAAACCCAGTGTCTGCCCTCACCACGCTTACAGTCTAATAGCTCATCTAAATGGCCTACCTCCTCCCACCACCACTCCAAGGACACAGCAGGCACTTGATACCCTCTAGAGGGTTCTTCATCCTTGTCTTTGGCGGATTGTTACACCCATTTGGGTGAAGAATCATGAAGGAAATATGGCTTCAGCATGAACCTGTTTTTGTCCTTAGTTGCCCCCTTTCCCCTTCGCTCCCCATCCCTCCTCAGTCCCACTGCCTCCCCTGGTCATTTGCTGCGGGGGTCAACTTACTTTATTTGAGAATGGCCCGACATGTCGATCTTAACTTCTGTGGTTATTTAAGGATTCTAAAACAAGGCCAAGTGGCTGTTGGTAACAGTGTCTGAATGAGACAGAGAGAGACAGAGAGACAGACCCAGGGAGAAGCAGAGAGACAGAGAAAGAGAGACATGCAGTGAGGAGGAAGGGAGAGAGACAGACAGAGAGACAGAGAGACAGCGAGAGAGGCAGTTAGAGAGAGAGAGAGAGACAAAGACAGAGATGGAGACATACAAGGAGGGAGAGGGAAAGAGAGATACAGAAAGACAGAAAAATACAGAGAGACAGAAAGAGAAAGACAAAAACAGAGATAGAGACATATAGCGATCAAGGGAGAGAGAGATGGGGAGACAAATAGGCAGAGTTGGGGATCGGGGAGGCCTCTGGCGGATGGCCTGAAGCTTAATCTACTTCCTGAGGTCTTCTCTGAGGTCAGAGACTGGGGCTTGGTGGGCCTCAGATAGCTTCAGGGCTGACCCCCAGCCTCAGAAGTGAACAACCCCCTGGAGATGGCCTGCCCAAACTTCTCCAGGCTGGCGTGACTAGCCCACAAGTCAGGGACTTCCCAGGGAAAGTCCCAGAAGGGCCAAGACCGCCTCGACAAAGCCAGGCAGGCCGCTGGCTGGTAGGTCAGGTTCGCTTCCCCTGCTCTTCCAGAATGCTCTTCTCTCCACACTCACTCATCTCCCTATTCTCCCCCAGTGGTTTTCCACACTCGGAGTGTGTTCCTCTCCCAGCTGAGCTCCATCCAGCCCCCCTGACTCACTACTGTATAGGGACCCTAGTAACTGCTCTGGGACATCAGGGAAGGATCGTCAGGGAAGGTGGGTCCCTCTGGCTCAGACCCCTACGGAGAAAGAGCTGAACTGGCCTGAGATCTGGAGAGAGGGGGTTACATGTCTCAGGGCTGATCACTATACCTCTTTAGTTTCAAAACTCCTCCCAGCCTCACCCCCTTCTTGCTAACCACCAAATTTGGGTAAAAAAGAACTCCTAGCTTTTAGAGCTGGAAGAGACCTTAGAGGTCATCTGGTCTATCTCCTTCATTTTACAGAAAAAGAAACCGAGGTTCAGAGAGAGTGAGGGCCTTCCCCAAGGTTACACAGCTAGTAAGTAGTGGGGCTGAGATTCCAGCCAGGAACAACCTAGAGCTCTGGGTCTCATTGGGTGGCCAGGTTCCTGCCTCCTTCCCAGCCCTGCTGCTCAGATCTGCTGCAGATCCCTCTCCAGAGAGGGGGAGATAGCAGTCCCCTAAGCCTGCCTCTGGGCTTGGCTCCCCAAGCAGATCTCCAGACTCACGGCTTCGGCTGTCAGCTCTACCATGTGGGCAATACTCCCTTGGATGGCCGGAGCTGAGGGAGAACTCTGAAGTCTCCAGATTTCTGGCCAGTCTTTGCATTGTGACTTTTTATGTTGTGGTTGCTAGGTTACCCTTATCCTCTGGAATCTGTTCTCCTTCATCAATCCCTGGGACCCCCTTCCCCTCCCCTAGCTCACCTTTCCTCACACCTGGACACCAAAGATTTACTGTCCCTGCTGGGGGGTTCGTCAGAGCCATCCTGACTTCCTAGTTACGAGATTATTGGGAAAAAATAGAGACAGGAGACAGACAGGAGTCCTAGAAGAGGTGGGGAAGGCTGAGATAATCAGGTGACAGAGAGGGCTCTGGGAATAGTCTTTTGACAGAAAACTCTGTCTTTCTATTTCTAGACCTCTTTTCTGCCCGTCTGTCTCTGTTTCAAAGGATAGTGTTGGACTTGGAGACAGAAAGATCTGAGTTCAAATGAGTGACACTGGGCAAGTCATTTAACCACACTCAGCCTCAGTTTCCTCATCTGTAAATTGGGGATAATAATAGCACCTACCTCCCAGGAATGTTGTGAGGGTTAAATGAAATAACATATGTAAAGCACTAGGTAACTCTTAAAGGACTCTTTAAATGCTGGTCTGAAAGAGGTCTCCTGGTCCAATCCCCTCATTTTATAGATGAGGAATCTTGGGCCCAAAGAAGTTAAAGGACTTGCCCAGGGTCACATAGGTAATATGTTTCAAAGACAGGATTTGAACCCAGGGCCTCTGACTCCAGAGCCAGGGTTCTTAACCCCTCCCCTCAAACAAAGGCCATCCCTTCCTAACTTTCCCACTTCCCTACTTCAGACAGAACTTTGTAACAAAGAAATATAGTGAAGCAAAAGAAATCAGCACATTGGCTGCGTCTGAAGATGTATGCCTTATTCCTCACCCAGGGTCCACCACCTTTCTCCAGGAGGCAGCAGGTGTCAAGCATTGATTAAGCACCTATCACATGCTAGGAGACCTATATGGAATATGGGTCTCTTCCGATAAAATGGGAGCTTCCTGGAGGCAGGAAATGTTTTATATTAATCCCAGAGCTCGCTGCTGTGTAGCCAGTCCACGCTGAGGAATCTTCCTTAGAGTTTCTCCATCGGACCATAGTACCAGAGAATAATCTTTTCAGTGAGAAAATGTG